TCTGGGGCATCCCTGGTGGCGCAAGGGGTTGCACAGCACTATGAAGCAATCCACGCAGCTCTGTAGCATGAGTTCAATCCCTGGTGGCCAGGGAGCTACCCCCATGGCGCAGCAGACCTCTCCTGTCTCGCCCACTGCTCCCCTCAGCAGTGTACTTCGGTCAGTCTGCCTGTTCTGTTCCCCACTCTGTCTCTGGTGAATTTTCTCACCCCCCGCATCTCTGACCTGTACCCCAGCTCTTGTATGCATAAATAAATAAATCTTTAAAAAAAGAAAAAGGGGAGAGTCTTACCTTGCCTGGGTTTTGCTTTTTGAAAAGCAAAGATTCCTTATGAAATGGTCCCACTAACCCAGACTTCAGCTACGTGGTGGCAGAGCTCGGGCACGCTGAGCAACCGAGGGTGCACAAAGCCCCAGCTATGGGAGAGAGAGGGGGAGCTGTGAAAGGAGGGTGTTGAGGGTTTTCCTCATCTTGCTGCTTGGCAGCCAATACTTCCGGGTTTAAATAGGGGCTGGGGAGTACTGTCCTAGGTGCTTTGGAGGTGAAGCATGACTTTCTTCTTGGCTTACCAGTTGAAACTTGAATTTAGAGACTAGGAGGGCAAACTTGTTCTGACAACTCCACCCTGTGAGCAAGCAGCCAAATCCACGTGTGTAACCTGCCACTAGCTCCAAGGCCCTTTGTGCTTAGAAACATCTTCCCTGCACTCAAACCATTGCAATTCACTAGGATTGCAATCTAAGGATAAAAGTAAAGCAATCGGACACCACTGCTGCTGAGGGGAATGCAATGGTGGATGTCCCCCTCAGAGAGAAAATAAAGCAAAACCAAAGTAAACCACAGCAGAAAAAATTCCTTGGACCAAACACATGGGGTGAATGAACTGAGAAATGAAAGCAGGAGCTGTAAGACACAAGAGGAATCTTTGGCTTGTTGATGCCGGAAACCAGTGTGTTTTCTGACTAGGAACTTTAAATAGCCAGAGGTCACGGAAAATAGCAAATGACCTGGTAATAAAAGCCAGAAGATAAATGAACTAAGTTGCCTCAAAGTTATCACACGAGCACTGAATAATGCAGTTAATTCCCTGGCATGTCAAGTTATGGGCACCTGGAATGCTGCATTTTCAGAAACTTCTCTTGGAAATATCAGAGGTCATTAGTCATTTCAACGTATCTGCTGCCTGAACTTCAGGAACTATTAAAATGATTATTTGGAACAGACTAGGTTCTCAGCTTATACTGTGTCCTGAGTATGGGGTTAACAACATGTAACCAGAATATTACGCAACAAGAGAATCAGAGCAACAAAAAAGGGATTTAATTAGTGTTCCATACCTTTCATTGTCTACTGCGTCAGGTCTTGGCACTACAATATTAAAAAAAACACCAATATTAGTTGGTAGAGAAAATTAAACACAAAAAATGTTAGACTGTTGGTCTGACAGCCCATGTTTTAATAGGTTTGGGGGGAAATAAACAGTAACAGTCAATAAAATGGAGACACCATGTTACACTGCCAGAGCTAGGGAACTACAGCAAAGGGAATGATGGTCTATGCCTGTTCGTTTCTCTAGGGAAAGCGGGGGATCCAAATGGACCATAAGGACCCTTCTAATCACGATAGCTAAGAACCAAGGTACACACCCAAAAATGGTTGATCCCACCCCTCAAGTGCGTCTGGGCTGCTCATGTACATCAATACACTGGGCTACCACAGCATGTTATTTTAACTGCACCAGCCCTAGAAATCTGCCTATTCTCTTTAAAAAAGAGACCCATTAACAATAATGAATGATACAGTCTGTTGACATTCACCAGCCTAAGACAGGTGGATGAGCTACATGATTCCTTTAAATCTCTGCAAAATAGTATAGGAATGTACTTAAAGGCTGTTCACTCTAGTTAGCATCTGCGAGAAATTCAAAATTAACCTATCCAAAACTTTCAATTTTCCTCGCTCTCATGTCCTACCCAAACTCCCCTGCCTGACACTGTCTATATCTGTTAATTGTAATGCTATTGTCCTATTCTCCAGAATTTGAAATCCCAAAGTCTGCTTTTATCCCTTATTCTTCTAATACTATGTATCGTTCTTCTGTGTCTTCCTTCTTCACAGCTCTTTGAATCATCCTGTTTCCTGACACCTCCATGACAGCTCCTGCAATAGTCTCCTAACAGGGGTCCCTCCTTGCCCCTTTTCTCCCTCCCTTTGATCCTATAAAATGCTACCAAATTAATCTTTCATATCATCTCTAATAAAAAAAAACCTTCAAAGACGAGCTACTACCTTTAAGATAAAGTCTAAATTTCAAAAAAGCATTTAAAAGAAATTCCTGAGAGGCAAACTGATACCTCCTTGTTAAAGATGTAGTATCCAATGAGATTTTTTATTAAATGAAGGACTACTTATTCCTTAGGCCAATTACAAGGGCAAGATTATCTCAGGTAGTGGATACAGATTTCCTAAGTTTAATAATAATGGGAAGGGCAGAACTCACTCAGATCTGAGTCATAGATGGGGCATTCACCCTTGAAGTGTCAACTAAAGCAAATAATACAGACATCAAAACGTACTTACAGCTCCATATGCCCTCATAAATCCCCAAAACTATAAGCAAAAATTACAGGAAAGCCCATTTCCACTTCAGATTGTTCTAAATGCTACCAATTTACCTCTTATTTCAGGCCAGATTTTGTTCTTCCATTGATCAATACACACAATGATCATAGAGCTGAACGCAAGCAGAAACACAAGACGAAGGGATGTCAGTGCAAAGAACCTACAGAAAAGGAAAAACAGAAGGTCATTATCCACTTAAGGTAATTTCAGAAAAGGCCATATGTGCACTGTACACTCTGAGGAAAAGAAAACTTTAAGTCCTTGTTCTATATCTTGAGTAAATCGCTTAGAATTTCTGGACTTCAGCTACTTTGCTTATAGGGCAAAGGGAATAATATGCTTCTGTAAAGGCAGAAGACTAAAACAAACAGCCTCTTGAAGCCCCCTTAACTCTTAAGACTGTGATTCTACTAATTTCAGGAAGAATTCATCCTTTTTAGCAAATGATGAAAGCACACACCTTTCTACCAAATCAGACCCTAGTGTAGAGCAACACACTGACAAAAGTGTTTTAAAGAGAATTTAACTCAATTAGATAACCTTTTTACAGATAAAGGAATTGAGACCCAATAAAGTACAATGACTTGGTCAAGGTCACATAGAAATGTTACCCTAAAGTTATAACAAAAAGTCAGTTCTTCAGAATTAAAACCTATCTTTCTCAACCCTTTCCAAGAAATTGAAGAGGGAGGGCCTCCCCGTTGGCGCAGCGGTTGAGCGCTGGGTTTCGAAGCTGCCCGCAGCCTCTGCAGCGCCGGTTCGATCCCCGGCTGCTCCCCGGCCACTGGAGGAGGGTCCCACATGGCGCACAGACCTCTCCTGCCGCCCGCTGCTCCCCTCAGCAGTGTACTTCAGTCCTTCTGCCTGCTCTGCTCCCCACTCTGGCTCTGGTGAATTCTCTCACCCTCCCGCGCTTCTGACTGTACCCAGTGCTTGTATAAATAAATAAATAAATGATTGAATAAATAAATCTTAAAAAAAAAAAAAAAAAAAGAAATTGAAGAGGGAACACATCTTGATAAGGCCAGCATCAATGATACCAAAGCCAGATGAAGACTACAAGAAAATTGCCAACTAATAACCTGTATGAAGATAGACCAAAATCCACACTAAAGTACTAGCAAACTGAATTCAGCACCATATTAAAAGGATTACACATCATGACCAATTTGTGGGATTTATTCCATGAACTTATTAAACTAAATCTATTAAAATTTATTTATTGCAAGAGTGGTTAAACATACAAAGATGAACAAATATATCACATTACCAGAATAAAGGAAAAACTAGTTCTATTTGAAAGAGTCAACAATAAATAGATATTCATAAACAATCTTGGAAACTAAAAACACTGACAACACATCTGAAGATAATAAAGAATTATGTTAATTTTTTTAGGTACAATGTTATAGAAGTTATGTGTTTAAAGTGCCACTATCTCTCAGAAATACAAACTAAAATACTTATAAATGAAATGATGTCTGCAATATGTGTCAAGATAATAGTTTGGAGGGGAAAGAGTCTGAAAGAAGATGAAACCAGACTGACCATGGGTGGTAACCACGCTGAAGTTGGGTGATGAGTACACATTCTTTATTTGTACTATTCTCTCTACCTCCGCACATACATAAAATCTTTCACGATAAAACGTTTTAATGAATTGTTCTATTACACCACCCTAAAACCTCAAAGGCAGTGCAGAACATCTGTGGTGTGTTAGCCAACAAGCTGCATTTACCAACAAGCAGAGACATTGAAAGTAAGCATTTAGGAAATTTTTTTTTCTTAAATTTATTTATTTATGCATACAAGAGGTGTCAGAGGTGGATGGGGTGAGAGGATTCACCAGAGACAGAGTGGGGAGCAGGACAGGTAGAATGACCGAAACACACTGCTGAGGGGAGCAGCGGGTGAGACAGGAGAGGTCTGCTGCACCATGTGGGTTACTCTCTGGCCGGGGATCGAACCTGTGCTGCAGAGGCTGCAGACAGCCCCAAAGGCCGCATCTCAATCCCTTGCACCACCAAGGAGGCCCTTAGGAAATCTTAAGCAATTTGATCAAGCAACTCTGAGTGTAAGAATACATATGGACTTATATTTTCTATGCATTTTAAACTTAAATATTCTAACTCATTTATATTGTATTTTACAAGAGTACTGATTTACAACATATTGGGGGAAACAATACCTCTAGTCCTTCACCACAGGTGGTTTGAAAAACATTGCTCTAAGATCCAAAGGAAATACATGCCCCCAAAGCCAAATACACCCCCAGAGGTGGTTCAGCAAGGCAGTAAGACACGGCTCTTAGAGGGGCTTGAGTTTGAGTCTCTGAACAACAGTTAGTCACTTTTAGTTATGGAGACCTTAATCTCTGCAAGCCTCGATTTCATCTGTATGTGATGTTATCGATTACAAATATTGCAGAATAGGGCCTCCCGGTGGCGCAGCGGTTGAGCGCTGGGTTGCGAGGCTGCCCGCGGCCTCTGCGGCGCCGGTTCAATCCCGGTTGCTCCCCGGCCTCCCGAACAGGGTCCCACATGGCGCGCAGACCTCTCCTGATGCCCGCTGCTCCCCTCAGCAGTGTACTTCGGTCCTTCTGCCTGCTCTGCTCCCTGCTCTGGCTCTGGTGAATTCTCTCACCCTCCCGCGCTTCTGACTGTACCCAGTGCATGTATAAACAAAAAACAAAACAAACAAACAAATAAATAAATAAATAACATGCCTCTATAAAAAAAAAAAAAAACAAATATTGCAGAACTGTTTGTAGGTATCAGAAACAACATACTTATACCTATAGAAAGATCATATTTGAGGGTCTCCCTGGTGGCACAAGGGGTTAAGTCTCAGCACTCTGAAGCTATCTGCAGCCACTGCAGCATGAGTTCAATCCCTGGCCAGGGAGCTAACCCACATAGTGCAGTAGAACTCTCCTGACTTGCCCGCTGCTCCCCTCAGCAGTGTATTTCAGTAGATCTGCCTACTCTCCTCCCCACTCGACTCTGGTGAATTCTCTTACCCGCCCCCCTCTGGCCTACACCTCGGCTCTTGTATGCATAAATCAATCCTTAAAAATATATCATATTTGGGCCTCCCCGGTGGCGCAGCAGTTGAGCGCTGGGTTGCGAAGCTGCCCGCAGCCTCTGCAGCGCCGGTTTGATCCTCGGCTGCTCCCGGGCCACCAGAGGAGGGTCCCACATGGCGCGCAGACCTCTCCTGCCGCCCGCTGCTCCCCTCAGCAGTGTACTTCGGTCCTTCTGCCTGCTCTGCTCCCCGCTCTGGCTCTGGTGAATTCTCTCACCCTCCCGAACTTCTGACTGTACCCAGTGCTTGCATGTATAAATAAATAAATAAATAAAATCTTTAGGGAAAAAAAATCATATTTGATTTTAATAAAAGTCAAAATACAAGGTATCTAATATGTGCCTAACACATAGTTCTACTCAATTTTACAGTGTAAATTGTTATCACAGTAACCAATCAAACAGGGTAAAGATGACCAAGGATTGGTTACAAATGACCTCTTTTCTCAATTCAACATATGACCTAATGACTTGATATAATCATAGCACAATACTAAGAGTAAAATCAGTATCATAATTTTTAAAAGCTTTATCTGTGGTATATATGAATACATATATACATGCAGAAGCTTTGTTTTTTGCTTCTAGACATTTTTATACTTTATTTTCAGTAACACAAATCCATATGTAATTTTTAAAATCGATACAGAGAATGAGGGCTGAAAGGAGACAAGGACTCAGAAATCCAGTCATCAATGACAAACCTATTCCTATTTTTCCACCCTACCACTTAAGGGATACCGTAATTATAAGTGCAATTAAAGAATGAAAGCTGCTTAGCAGAAATAAGCCTTTAGAGTTGCCACAGGCCATTAATCTCCTCACTAAAGCCAGTTCATCATCCCAACAAACAAGCAAATTTAACAAGGCCAAGCATATGGGCTTGAAAGTGTCCTCCTCCCCAGTGTGACTGCTTCCAAGCCCCACCTGCTGCATGTGGTGAGATTGCTGTTTTCTCTGGAGTACTTGAATGGGCTCTCTAGGGAGGCAATCCAGACTGTCTGCAACTTCCACTTCCCAGGGCGTGATCACTAACACAAATATAAACTGGGGTAGGGAAAGGACATTACACTTTTCTAAGCAAGCTCAGATTTCCAGAGGTGTTGGCAATAAAACTATCATTTCTTTAAGACCCAGACTATCGTAGTCTGTTACGGCCCCACCTTCCATTCTCATAAACTATGCTTTAATTCAGTCTAACACTGAGTGTCTACTATATGCTCAGGTCTTATGGTGAATAGCCCAGTTACAGAATAGAGACATAGACCTTATTCTCAAGTGTATTTGTTCATGTGTGTTTACCATATAACAGGACAAGATGATGATAAAAAGAGAACATCTAAGATTTGAAAGGTAATTGGTAAGAAAACAGAGCAAAAAGGTGTGGGAAGGAAGAAGACATTCAGATAGAGAGCACTCAGCTAGCAGGACTAATGGAAGGAACTACAAGCAGACAGACAGAACTGAATCATAAGGAACAAAAGGGGGGGGTGGGCAGGAGTCAGATCATTAACTGACTGTTCTAACAAAGCGCACTAGATTTTACCCTGGAGATGAAGGTAAATCAGTAGAGTTTTAGAAAATTCTGTCTCTATGAAGGCTACACCTATAAGCATCTTCTTGAGCAAGATTAATCCTGACCCATAAATCTGACTTAGGAGACCCGATTTATCCTTTCCTTGAACAAGTCACTGCAGGAACTTCAGGGAAAAAGAGTGGTGGTATAGCATATCTTGGAAAAATGGCATTTCCATATATATAAAAACTTAATGAAAAGATCATCTCAAATCACTAACGTTCACCCTCCAAGGTAACTAGAAAATATCCATGTCCCCTAGGGGTGTGACTATCAAGGATGAAAAAAGTGGGTAAGCACGCACTCCTTTCCTTCCAGCTCTCAACACTAAATTCCTAAATAAAAAGGGACTATCAAGCTCAGATTGGTGTTTTGCAACAATTGAGGTCCCATTATGCTTGTCATTTTATGGAGGTAACCTGGAAGCCCAACTGTGAAAAACCTTTGTGGATAAGACACCACACAACTGGGTTTGATCCCCAGCCAGGGAGCTGACCCACA